TTCGCTATTTATTTCGAGACAATTCAAATACCAAAATATTTTTTGTTTTATTTTGAGACAATTTAAATATCAAAATATTTTTTGACTTATTTCGAGACAAACTTTACTCTTTGAACATAATTTGCTGCTTGTTTTAAGACAACATATATTTAAGGATTATTTCCGTGACTTGTTTCAAGTCAATTCATACTTGTGAAATATTTTTTTGCGATAATCTAAACTCTCAGAATAATTTTCGGAACTTATTTTGAGACAATTTATTTTCTCGTTGGTGTTTCGATACACAATACATTATCACAAAATAATTTTTAAAGTTATGATAAAAAAAAAAGTATCATAAGAATGTCTCAAACTATGATCGAAACACTAATTTGTTTCAAAAAAAAAAAATACCTTTTCTAATATGAATGTCGATGGTTCAAAATGAAGATATGACATCCATTAAAATAAAAATAAATTAAATCAATAATGTCAGAAGTGGGATTTGAACCCACGCCCTCTTACGAAGACCAGAACTTGAGTCTGGCGCCTTAGACCACTCGGCCATCCTGACTAAGATGTTTATCTAAGATAAATATATTTATTTAAATACTTTGGACCAAGCATAGAATACACAATGCATTGGCGCAAATGCAAATATATACTTCCTCCGACTCCCTAGACACAGTATCTGCTACACTGTAGACACGGTATTTTAGGAGGGGTGTAATTAGTAGATAATTAAGAATATATTAGTGAAAATAATTATCCTATAATATAAATAATTTTAAATTAAAATTAAGATAACTAATTAGTTTAATTAAAATTTAAAAATAAAATTAAAAAATTTAAAATGATATTAAAGTGTGTAATCATTTTCCAAAAAAAAAAGTGACATAATATGCGGGACGGACAGAAACGGCAACGTAGACATGATATCTGAGACAGAGAAAGTACGATGGATGAGATCTTGCTAAGATGAAGCCAGCTGCATTATATTGAAGAAAGGGATCCAATACTTGCTGGTTGATAATATAATAAGTTACACTACAGTTGATGACATGCTTATGCTTGTTATATATATTGATTTTAATTAAATAGATTTATTTATTTATTAAGTTATCGAGGTGAGTGATGGTACTGTACTGGAGATCATCGAAGGGGCTTGCAAGGTTTCCAGAGCAAGCCGCAGTAGCATTTTTGTAGAAGCCTTTGCATTAATTAAATAAGTTTTATTTTTTTATTTTATTATTATTTTTTTAATTATATTTTAAAAATAAATACCGGCCGTGACCTTTATTTCCAGGCTGAAATATAAAAATATGGCTGAAGAAGCTAGTCTCATTGTACTTTTTGGTTCCCCACTCATTCTCTTTCTTTGCCATGTCATTGATATTTTTAAATTTGTTTTTCTTTTCTCAATTTCTATCTTTCTATTTCCTACTTCCTCCGTCTCGAAACTAAATATTCATTTGCTTTTTGCACGTAGTTTTAGAAATATTAGTATTATATTACGATATAGGAGGAATAATGTAAAAATGACTAAAATAACCTTATTAGTATGTGTGATATAAAGACAATGACATTTATGTAATATATTGTAAGTTGTAAGGGAATTTGTAATGTTAGGTAGATAGTACGGTTATTAAAAAAAGAAATGGATACTTTGATATGAGACGGACTAAAATGAATAAATGGATATTTTGTTATAGGACGGAGGAAGTATTTTTTTGACTTTGTATTTTGATCATTACGTATGAAGTAAAGTTTAAAAATTCATCATTCTATTTCTGACTGGATAAATAAGCATTGGAGGCTGTTTTAGGTCGTTACCATTGGTGTTGCTCTGGCTGACTGGCTCGCTGGCTGGCTGGCTATACATGCAATGCAATCCATCATTTTTTAATAGGTTATATCCCATTCAATGAAAAATCAACTATTTATCTAAAATTTTTCCCTAAAAACATCAAATCAAATATTTATTTTTTATTTTTTATATTATTCTAAAAATCAAATTTTACATTTAAAACATCACATCAACACTTATTTATATCGCATCATATAACTATTCAAATTCAAGATTTTTACTATTCAAATCCAAACTCAAAATTCAAACCTCCAAACAAACACACAAGTGAAACTTCTTCATGGCATCAGATAAGTACTCCCTCCGTCCAATGCAACTTGGGTATATTATCGTAGATACGATAATTTAAGTAAAGTATAATTAGTAAGTAATTAAGAAGTGTATTAGTAAAAATAATTATTGTATAGTAAAATATAATTATAGATTAAGATTTAATGTAACTAAATAGTTTAATTAAAATTTAAAAATTTAAAATTAAAATGCGATTAAAGTGTATAATTATATTTCCAAAACTAAAATGAACAAATTATATAGAATAAACGAAAATAAAAAATATAGACAAATTATGTAGAACGGAGGGAGTAAAAAATATGTTAGATCATCCGTCACATGAAGTGATTAAATAGTGGTCATTTGGGTAAATAGTTATTCAGAAGGAATTTTCTTGAGATTACTCTTTTTAAATTTGGTAAGAGCTTTTTTTTTTTTTTTTTTTTTAAACTTTTTTTTTTTTTTTTTTAATGAGCATTTATTCTTGCAATGATAATTATAAGTTGAGATTACTGGTGGTGTGCTTTATGACTCCATTCTATGATTATATATGCATGTTAAACTTGTTCGCAATTGATTCCTACTTCTTTCTCTATGTTCAATAAGAGCTGTACTAACAGTGCACGGTTCTTAGCCAGTTAGCCTTAACATCAGTGACATGGTTGCAAAATTATCCAACAAAATTAAAAAAAAAAAAAAAAAAACCAAATAAAATGACTAAGGGGTTGTTTGGTTCGTGGATTTGGTGGGATTCCATGAGATTTGGATTTTAAAATTCTAATCAATCCACGTTTGGTTATAAAATTGATAATTAAATTTTAAATGCATGAGATTTTAAAATCCTGCAAATACAAGATTTTTTAGTAATAGTGTACCCCTGTTACTTTAAAATCTCATGTCATTGCATTTTTTATTTTACTATTATACCCTCCCATAAAAAAATCATATTTCTTTTCATTTTTAATATTAAATATATATATATATAATTTACATTCAAATTATATTTTATTGGTTTTATAAAATATAATATTATATGTAAGCATACTACTGCAAATCATATACTTATTTATAAAAATGTTATATATATATTTAATTCTTTTACTAATGATAATTTAAATAAATTAATAATTTAAAATATCAATTAATAATTTAAATTTATTTTAATGGTGTATTAATTTTGTATTTTTAGTTTAAATTGTTTTTTTATATTAAATATGAGAAAGAATGTCGATAGTATAAAAAATAATTAAATTATCGTATTTTTTAGTGTATAGATTATATGTTACAGTATATATTTTGTATGAATATATATTATATCTTTTATTATTAATCGAAAATCGTATTAAATTATTTTTTCTTAGAATACACTAAATTTAGTAATAAATAAAGTTTACGGAAAAAAAAGATGTAAAGTTTAATTTATCACAATAAATAAAACCCGTAGAAGGATAATTACGTCATTTAAAATATCAAAAATCAAAATCCTTAAACCAAACACCCCCAACCAAACACAGGATAGGATTCCAAATCTAAATACAGTAAATCCTATCACATATAAATTCTACTGCAAAAATCTCAATCCCATCAAAAAAATCCTTGAACCAAACAGCCCCCAAGAGAAAAGATATATTTAAAATAAATTTAAATATTTTTATTAAAAATGATAGAATTTAATAAAAATACATTCATAAAAAATTTATACATTAATTTTAAAAAATTTAAAATATTACATTTCTTACAAATAAGCATAAAATATTACATAATTAAAAGCAAAATAAAATACAATATTAAAATAATCATAAAACATTATAAAATATAAATTACTCTAAATGAAGGAAAAAAAATCTAACCATTTTGTATTAATTCTTTCAACAATTTTTCCTTAGTCCTTCTCCATTAGGAATTAGTTGATCCTTTGCTAGCAAATTGTTCAAAGATTTTATAGTTTTTTGCTTGAATTTTTCTCTGTTGTTGCTCCATTTGTTGACTTGTGTATCTTTAGCTTTGATACTAGCAAAATATTCTTCATAATTATTAGAACTAGACTATTTTCTTGACACTCTTTTTTTCTTCTTTTTACATGCCGTCACACTGGAGGACTGATAATATGAGAATTATCATCACTATCACTGCATGGTATTGTTGGATTAGAATTAGATGAATATCTACTAGCTTTATCGAATGCAGATAGTATAATAATTTAAATATAATATATAGTTTTTATTTAATAGATTATTTTACTTAAACGCAAAGTAGTATAATATATAGAAGAATATTTTTAAAATATATGTTGTATAAATTTTGTATTAAATAAAATAATAAATTTATTGATGCGGAATAAAGAGAAATTTTAAAAACCATTTTATATTATGAGGAAAGAACGTGATGAGTTTTTAACGAGATAAAATATAAGAACAATTCTTAGACTGATTGCATTGCACATGGCCTAAGGTATTAACAGGGCCGGCCCTGGGCCCGGGCGAGAGGGGCGCCTGCCAAGGTCCAGAGCAAATAGGGGCCCATTTCGCATTTATAAGCGTAATAAATATATACATATAATTTTTATAAAAGAGGTTATATTAATTATAATATTTATGAAACATGGTATTCTAGATTAACAATAATAATATTTATAATTTCAAAACTAATTAATAGTAATGGTATAATAGGTATTAACTTCACTGTACCTACATCCTAGGAGAAGATGGAAACGAATCGACAAATCTCTCACAATGGTTAGTATTTTTTTTTTGTTTTGATTTTTTCATTCTATTCATTTTAAGAAATAAATAGTTCAATTTTTGCTATATTTTTATACTGATTTTTCGACCATCGGAATGATTTGCAGCCCAGTGATAAGGTTCTTTAGCCAAATCGCTTGCTGTTATGCCTCAAAACATGCCACAAACTTAGCTTCCATTGTAAAACTAGTAACGAGTGTCTGTTTGGAACTACGCCAAGCGATGGTCCCACCAGCCAACATATAAACATATCCAGATGTAGATTTTCTACTATCTTGGCATCCCACAAAATCGAAGTCAGAGTATCCAACGATCTCCAATTGGTCTGACCTCCTATGTGTGAGCATGTGATTACTAGTTTTCTTCAGGTATCTCATCACCCTCCTGGCTGCCTTCCAGTGATCCAATTCAGGATTACTGAGGTATATGTCTACCACACCGACTATGTACGCAATATCTAGATGCATACATACTTGTGCATACATGAGGCTCCCAACTGCTGAGGCATAAGGGATCTTTTTCATTTCCTCAAATTTCCAAATTTACTTTAGGGCAATGGCTAAGACTTAATTTCTCTCATTAATCTATAAGGGTATCTCCTGACTTGCATTTCTGCATGCTGAATCGCTTGAGTATTTTATCAATATAGCTCTTTTGATATAATCCAAGAATACACCGAGATCTATCACAATATATTTGGATCTCTAATACAAAAGATGTTTCACAAAGATCTTTTATCTCAAAGTTACTCGAAAGAAATTTCTTAGTTTTGTGCAACATGGCCACATTATTTGTGGAAAGAAAAATATCATCCACATACAAAACTAAGAAAATAAATTTGCTCCCACTGAATTTTTGATAAACAAAATCATCAACAATATTCATCTCAAAACCATATGAAAGAATTACTTGATGAAATTTGTGATACCACTGTCGAGATGCTTGCTTGAGCCCATAAATGGATTTTCTTAATTTACAAACCATTTGTTTTGGATCACTGACCTAAAAAATTTCTGATTGTACCATATAGATCGTTTCATCAATATCACCATTTAAAAACGTTGTCTCTACATCCATCTGATGGAGCTCTAAATCAAAATGTGTCACAAGAGTCATAATTGTCCTAAAAGAGTCTTTCGAAGATACCAGAGAGAAAATCTCTTTATAGTGAATCCTCTTTCTCTGAGTGTATAGCCTTTAGCTACAAGACGTGCCTTATACCTCTCCACATTACCATTTGAATTCCGTTTGGTTTTTAAAGATTCATTTGCAACCTACGGGTTTTGCACCTTCTGGAAATGGGACAAGTTCCCAAACTTTATTGTCTTGCATTGACTTGTACTCATAATGCATTGTATCGACCCATTTATCTGAATAAGGACCCTTCATGGAATGATAAATATTAATTGGATCATCCTCAGTCATGCCATCATTGTCCCTACTTTCTTGAAGAAATATCACATAATCATCTGGAATGACATTTTTTTTTTTTTTCTAGTGCATCTAAGCAATTAAGTTGGCTCTTGAACTGTATTTTCTTGAGTTTTTTGAGTTTGTTCCACATACATAGGTTTCTGTTCTATATGAACGGGTTCCTCAGTCACACTTTGAAACTCTATGGGAGCTGGAATGGCTGCTAACTCATGATGTGTTTGATCAATCACATCAGTGATTTCTTGATCCTCATAAGTGAAGTCTAAAATTGTGTTTCTCCCCCTAAATTCAACATCCTCAAAGAACTTGGCAGTAGCCGTCGCAAGAATAGTTCTTGATGTGGGATCATAAAATTTATACCCCCTTGACCGTTACGAATAGCCAAGAAAATAATTGCTCATTGTACGGGATGCTAGCTTTGGTTCAGTTGGCCTATAGGCCTTCGCCTCAGTTGGACAACCCCACACTCTAAGATGATTTAAACTCGGCTTGCGCCCAATCAAGAGTTCATATGGTGTTTTGGAAATCGCCTTAGTTGGCATTCGATTAAGGATGTAGGCTGTTATCTTTAGTGCTTCTCCCGATAATGATGGTGGTAAAGTAGATTGACTAATCATACTTCGAACCATATCCTTCAATGTACGGTTTCTTCTCTCAGCAACACCGTTTATACTAGGTGAACCGGGCATGGTGTATTGAGGGACCATTCCACACTCCTTAAGAAAGTCAGCAAAAGGACATGGACGTTGTTCACCCAAGCCATCATTTCTTCCATAATATTCTCCTCCATGGTGAGATATGATAGTCTTAATGCGTTTGCTAAGTTCATTTTCAAATTCAGCCTTAAATGCTTTGAACATGTCCAGTGCCTCAGATTTTTCTTTAATAAGGTATAGATCACCATATCGATAATAATCGTCTATAAATGAAACGAAATATTGTTGAACGTTCCACGAAAGAGTGGGAAAAAGCTTACAAATGTCTGTATGTATCAATTTCAAGACATTTGTAGCTCGATAAGCACATGTCCTTTTAACCTTGATCTGTTTACCCTTAATGCAATTGACACAAACGTCAAAGTCTGAAAAATTTATGGAATCAAGGATTTTATCCTTAATGAGTCTTTCAACTCTGGTTCTTGAAATATGACCTAAACGTTTGTGCCACAATAAACCAGAGTCATGCAATTTTCGCTTAGTACGATTTGCTTCCGTATTAAGTGGTATAAATTGTCATTCACCATAAAAATACCAAAATCAACAAAACATGAATTTAAAGACAACTTAAATTTATTATTTCCAAAAGAACAATGATACCGAATTTTTCCAAATAAGAAACATAAACCAAATTCCGTCTAAATGACGGTACAATAAAAGTGTCTCGCAATTCAAGAAAATGTTCAGTACTCAATAACAACTTGAAAATGCCCACAACTTCCACCTCTACTAAATCCCTATTTCCAAAGTAAATGCGTCTTTCAACATCAGTTGGGTTTAGGTAGCTCAGGCAACCCTGCATTGAAACACATATGTTAGTAGTTGATCCAGAGTCTAACCACCAAATCTTTTGAGGTAATGAAGCTAAATTAACCTCAGAACAAACCAAAGTAAAAAATGTACCCTTTTTCACGCGCCAATCGTGAAACTTAGTACAATTCTTCTTCTCATGTCCAACTTTCTTGCAAAAGAAACAAGTCTTCTCAGGAAAACCCTGAGGAGCTGAAACTGGAAAATGAGCCTTAGCATCTCAACCTTAACGGCTTTATATTTTCTCTTATTGCCGCTTGCATCATTTGAGGTACCAACCACATATACCTTCTCAGTCTTATTACGATTCATTCGTTCTTCATTCTCAACAAGTAGAGATGAGCTCATTAAAAGTCCACTTCTCATTTTGACAGTTATAACTGACTTTGAACTGATCGTATTGAGTAGAAAGTGAGAGCAAAACCAATATGATTAACATGTCCTCTGAAAAGTCTAACTTAAGTGCCCTCAACTTAGAAGCAGTATTAGACATGTTCAGGATGTATGCCCTTATGTTTTTTTGCCGTTATACCTCATGGTAATGAGACTCTTGAGAAGAGTACTCATTTCCGCCTTATCGCCTTTGGTAAAGTGTTTCTCCATTTCAACAAAGAAATCATTGGTAGTAATAATATCATTAGATATCGTGCCCCGAAAGATTTCTGGATTGCTTTTCTTTATGATTATTAGAATAAGGAGATTAGACCTATCCCACTTCTCAAACAATTTCTTTTCATCTGCAGTGCTTTATGCTCTAGGAGAAGGGGGTTGGTCTATCTTTAATGTCAAATCAAGATCCATACAGCCTAAATGAATCAATACCGATTCTTTTCGGTGCTGAAAGTTGTCCCCAGACAGTATTGGGACCGGATAGTTAAAAGATACCATAAGATTTGATCCTGAAGATAACATTGAATAAATATACACATAAGTATTTTCATCATATTCAATAAAAATATTAATATATAAAACATTGGCCTCGGAAATTCCGAAACCTTTTCTATGTAAGCTCGAAATTTTCTTCGGAGTATTCTGAACCTTTAAAAGGACTTGGAATCCCCACGCTACCTTCACGTCCCTCCAACATTGGATCGGGATTCCCAAGACCAAAAATAAATAAGGTTGTTTATATTAATTAAAAGACTTATAATAGGTTCGGAAATATTTCCGACGTAATTTTCCGAGATGAGTATGTAAAATTTTGGTAGTATTAAACTATCTTATTATCTAATAAATCAATATTTGTATAATTTATTTTTATTTATTTTAATTCAAAATTCAATCTAATTACTTGTTAAATTTAATTTTTTAATTATTTTTATATTGTAACAATCTAATCAATTATTATTTATATGACTTTTACACAATAAATAAATAATAAATATATATATTTAAAAAAAATCAAAATTGAATTAATTATTTTTAATAAAATTTAAATTTAGAAAGCTACAAAATAAAACAAAAAAATATTAGAAATAAATATACATAAATAAACAATAGGTTCAAACTTATAACCCCGTAATCAAAATCGTCAAACTGTAACTGAAATTGTCATTTGAAATATTCTGTTTCGATTTGATATTTTGACAAATTGTAATCGGCGGTTTGAACCGTTTGAGCAAGTCTAGTAGGTAATACCACCACTCAATCCCAATAAAAAAAAACTCAAACATAAATAACAAGCATTGCACATTCATTCCAGCATGCATTAACCAAACATAATAATTAATGCACAATATCTGATCAAATGTAACACTAAATTGTGAAAAAAAATGCCCAAGATTGTTGGCTGGAAGATTTACACGACTGTTATGTTTGTTGGGTTGGGAGAAGACCATTTCCACCATTAAATTAAAATCCTGGTGGCTTCACGTCTAGCTAGCTAGAGACTTCAAATAGGTTGAATCTATCTTGTACCCATACTCAATAGATCACATCCTCCGAACCTTGCTGTAAGAACATACAATGAACATCTAAGTCTGAACTGATGTTAAAAATAAAAGGCCAAATGATATAACACCCCCTTATATTTTTAGTAAAAATGCAGAAAATACCTTGTATATTATATATTACGTAAAACCCCCTTGTGTTACAATAAAGTTTACCTATAACACCCTATTCATCCAAAACTGATATTTGGTAAATTATACAAGTTTTATAAAATAAAAGAGGTAAAATATCTTAAATGGTCTTTTTTGAATAAAATAAATAAATAAATAATTGATCAATCTTTCATTTTTTATAGCTTTTGTAAAAAATCAGATAACAATTTATATCCAAAAAACTATAAAATCGAGGATTAATATTTACTTATTTATTATATTAAAAATGACTATTGAATATATTTACCTCTTTTATTTGTATAAAAATTGCATAATTAAGTTCATATTTACAATCAAATATCATTTTTGGACGAATAGGGTTTCACTCAATAAATAAAATATAAGGTGTTTTGTGCATTTTCACTAAAACACAAGGGGTGTTATACAATTACCCAAAATAAAAATGCACTCAATGAAGCTATGACATTTTTGTTTCAACGATACTCACTAGCTCATTCTTTA